CACACGTCAGACGTTTCTGGACACGCTAATTATTCAAAATATACCCATTTTCCTTAGCAATTTGGGTTCTCTCGTTTATGTTCTTATCCGACTGAGTGTGTAGACAAGGCAGCTTCTTGTTTCAGTCGCCAGTATGGAAATACATTGTATGGACGTAATATACTACTCACAACGTTGCTGATAAATCTTCGACAGCCCATAACCGGTTTCGTCATTCTTGGGGCTCATGGGGTGGGCACAGTCTCCGAGGTGGTCTAGTACACCACATTCAGTTGAAGAACATCATTGGTCGAAATTCATTTGAGTCTCTCGTCAAAACCAAACTGATGTTCAAATGAGTGTGTTCTTCTAACTTCGGGTAATTTGAGTTCAAGTAGAACACAAGATTGATGGAAACTAAGGACCTACACGCGCCCTATGTGCCTCAATAAGGGCGTAATCGGTCGCGGGTTGTCGAACAGTTTTCAGTAATATTCGACCAAAAAGATTAGTTCGCCGCCTGTCCAAGTTGTTTTGAGATTTGTCGACTCTAACCACTATTTATAGCACCTAACCCAGGTGGAACTCAAGTCAGGTAACTAGTTACGACCGTGAGGACAGGCACCATGTCGTCAACACCAAGCAGCATCAAAGGTCCTGTTCATACGTGACAGTGAAGGCACACAAAAGTGTAGCAGCGATCGACAGTCCTTGCCAACTTTTCCGGATGACGGTGTCTGATTCTGGTCACAGAGAGGACGTTGATGCTGGAACTGGATACCTTTGTACTAGAACATTCGCAGGCCTTTGCACATTTATGCTGCTCCAGAAACAGGTACACCCGGCTTACTAAATCTAGCTGACTGCATCCTTACGACAACTCTTGGACTGGCACACTTTGACCATTTTCGCGACATCGAATACAATCACCTCTGACGACCATGCTTAGATTACGTTGCTGTTTGCAACGGTTTCAGGACATGTAGCGAGGTATTGAAAATTGGCGCTGTCAGATCATCATACGACAATTAAAGGTCAACTTCCGTGGTCAGATGACCGTACTACTTGCAACCGTTGGTAAGGCCGCAGTACGCCTGTCAAAGACACCGTGGGAATGGATAACAAGTCTTGTCACAGAAAAACAATTATTTATTCCAAAGCAAAACGGTTTTCAGCGCTCGCCCTGTTGATAGGATTGCTAGAGATGATTGAATTGCGGGTCGTATTACGGCAAAAGGTACTAACTGATTAGAGTTCATCACGAGTTTACAAACTTGATCCCCCGAAAGTTCTCCACTATATTGATGTGAACGTCACCAATACTTTTTCAGATAGAATTTTCACTCATCCAAGCTACTGCCTCAGAAGGGGAGTAAAATTCACAAGTGAGTGAAACTTCCACTTGAGAAGTCGTCACTCGAGGAGCTAGTCAACACTTGTGGCCACGTGATGTGGATCCCGTGAATGAAAGATGAGTGGCACTATATCCTGTCTAAGTGCGAGTTAATCTCGTTGCTGATCAGTCGCTCGTGGCCGAACGGTTGAGTGTTCAGACTAGTGGCCGGGAGTTCATGAGTTTGTAGCGTCTGTATTGTCACATTTCTCGTGATGTTTGTTTTAATAGTACCAATACACAATCGTTTGGCGCAACTTGCTGACTTCTTGCTGAATCAGGGAATTTACGCTCCGTTGAACTGTTTGCTGACTGCTGAACTAGTGGGACTAGTTCTCTGTGTTTGTGTCAACTGTTGAACGTCACAATAAATCCCCGTGACCTTTTTTAGCCGTGAATAACCTTTCCGTCGTGGAACATATCACTCACGCGGTGTAGTGGACTATTGGATCTACACGTTCGTGAGTTCTCATTCGACTATTTATTCTTTTCCCATTGTGATTTTGTGGTTTTGTATTGGTTACTTCGCTTGTTAATTTGTTCGAACACACTAATAAGGTCCTAGTCCGCTACAAGTTCGTGAGAAATAGCTGCGCAGTGCTTCTTGGCTTTTCAGTATACATTGGCTTGACTTATGTGACGAAACATCCTTTGTTGTCCTGTATTTAGTTCCCCAGCTTCCCCGTAATCAACTAAGGATTCATTTCCCTGACAGTCGTTCAGCACGAGGGCTCGGATACTGCCAGGTTGCCCAAGCCTAGACAGGGGAAGTAGAGAGGCGGAGGTTGGGTTCGAACCACAGACATTCCGGTCAGTAAATTCGCGCTCTAACCATTGAGCCATCTCGCCCGCTCCCTGACAGAGATACCATATTCTACCACCGGCCTTTATTCCGTTGAGCTGCGAAACAAGTCAAGTTCGACTACTTGCACATAAACCCTCCAGACACTAGGCTGTACAACGAACTAAGTTACAGGTTCGTTTTGGGGCTTGAACCGAAACAGGCCCAGAGTAGCTCAACCAAGATATCGGCTCTACTTCACTTATTGTGTTTTGTTTCCTCTCGTGTCACCTAAATTCACATCTCCATGTCAAAGTCACTGAATAGATGAGGTGAGAACTAAAATGTGGTTTTGTGAACCGTCGGGTACAGAGTTCGTACTCACTGGTCACAGAATTAAACGGATGCCCCCGCACCCTGAATGAGTCCATGGGTGTTCAGTGCCACGGTCTCCGTGATCACTGGCCTTCAACTCTCAGTTTGTCCCCCTCTTCAGAGAACAGCACCGTCTCTTGGCAATTCTCCCAACTCCCAACGTATATGGCAATAAATTGGCAATGAATTGGCAATAAATTGCAGACACGGTCAGCTACTGGTCGTACTGGGTATCATGTTCCAGCTAGGCTTATCATACACGTGACGCTGACTGACTGCACGTGACAACAATCGATTTAAAATTGTGATCTGCTTGTATGAATCAGCACAATTATTTGAGAGTTGACTATAGGTGGTAAGAGTTTGATTCGTACTGCAGCTGTTCAGCTGTAGCACCCTTTCGGTGCCTAACTGCCATGCCACCAAAAGGAAGCGTGAGGGCGGGGTTACTTCCAGGTTGCCCAAGCCTAGACAGGGGAATTCGAGAGGCAGAGGTCGGGTCAGTAAATTCGCGCTCTAACCACTGAGCCATCTCGCCCCCAGATTTGTAATACAACATCGAAAAGTGCTTTGCGTGAGGTGACACAGCATACCACAATCTGGCTCCCGTTATCACTAAAGTGACATTTTCTGGCCACAGGTAGTGGACAATGAGTTTTACTCAACGATCAGTTTTGGGATGGCAATTCTATGCCCGAAGACTTTCACCTACTTTCACGCTCTACAGCATATACCAGTCTTATTAGGTCATTTTAAATATACGGCGACTAGTGTCCAGTCAAGGCTGCAAACGGATACGAAGCAAACAGTCGGGGTGTCTATGGCGGAACTACCGGTTTTATGGATTAAGGAAACGTTTGAAAATCAGAAAATTTCTCTAGATCACTCGAGATATCACCTTTGGCATAGATCTCGATGTACGGCTGGATGCATGTGACCAGCTGTCACTGGTTTACCGGAACAGATAGCGAAACATTGAGATAATCCTGGTGTTCCGTGGTTTCTCTCCGCTGCTTAGCCCTTACAGAAAACCCATAAGTGGAATCATGGAATTTAACGTCAAACTTAGTGATCGTTTGTGATTCGATCAAACAAGACGAGCCTGTCAAACATGGGGTATTGTTAACCAAAAAGCTGACTCAATCCTATTCATGAGGTTGCTGAAAATTCGTTGACAGCCCACGGCCGGTTTCACCCTTCTTGGGGCTCATCATGTAGACGCGCAGTCCCCGAGTTTCTGCCAACCTTATGCTCTACTTGAAGCCAAACGAGACATTCAGCTGGGTTCCAGGTGAGTCTCTCAAACAAACAAATTAGTTTGCGAATGAGTGTACTTCGTTGACCCAGTCCTCTTCGATAGAATTGGTCGGTGGCCGACTGCTGGGCTCGTCCTTCCTGAGCCTTGTCAGGTAAGCCGAGTTCGTATCAACCTTATTTCCCACTGGGGCACCCAATTTTACTTATGTACAGGTGTGAGCTTTAAAGCAAAACAGTAGAGTAAGAATCCCATAGAGAGATTAATTTGGCAAGCTGAGTGAAACTTCCATATGAGCAGTCATCACTCGAGGAGCTAGTCAATATGTGTGACCACGTGATGAGGACTCAACGATTCAACGATGAGTGCTGTCTGCATTCTAAGTGACAGCCAATCAAACACTCGTGGTCGTGCAGTTAAGCTTTTTACTGTTGACCGGACAGTAGCGGGTTCGAAACTCCCCTCAGCTCTACGAGATCCGAATTTCTGCGAATGAAACATGCTCGCCGCTCTGAGAAACTGCTCAAATGCAATTTGATTTACCAGCGCTATGGTAGACATAGTTTTCCATGCGCCATAACGTTAAGATGAATTTTTGTAATGTACTACTCATAAGGTTGCTGAAAATCCGTCGACAGCCCACGACCGGTTTCGCCCTTTTTGGAGCTCATCAGGTGGGCGCAATCCCCGGGTTTCTGTCAACCTTTTGTTCTACTTGAAACCAAATTGCACGAAACTCGCGAATATACACTCACTTCCAAACTAAAAGGGAGAAACCGTTCGTGGGCTGTCGACGGATTTTCAGCAACCTTATGAGTAGTACATTACAAAAATTCATCTTAACGTTATGGCGCATGGAAAACTATGTCTACCATAGCGCTGGTAAATCAAATTGCATTTGAGCAGTTTCTCAGAGCGGCGAGCATGTTTCATTCGCAGAAATTCGGATCTCGTAGAGCTGTTATGAGTACGTGGCTAAACTCCAAGAATAGACATTAAGCTTTCTTAAAAAGTTAAGCTATCAGCATACCTGTCTTCATAACGTCCATTTATCCTGGTTGCTGCAGGGAAATGGCTCGAGTTCTCTGTTTACTATATGCATGGAGCTCATCATAAAAGTTCTTGCCGTCAGCACAGTGCCAGTCATCCCTATGAGATTAGCACGGCTCTGTTAGGACGGATATTCCAAAACAGTTTGAGTACATTTTTCAACTCAGCTGTGTCCTGAAACTACGGAAACCGAAGGTCCCCCGGAACCTCCTGGGGACGACACGTGTGATGCGCCTGCTGCGGATATCCGTTCCCATCAAACAAAGGAAACTTTAGTGAATATCTTCACAACGGAACGTCTTCTGTGCGCTGTGTACACAAGTCACAAGTGTGGTACTGAATTCGGAGAGGGGGGTCGATGAGTTCTGATAGGATCAGCTGTCATACCCGTTCGGGGCCTGGCTGCACCAGAGCTACGTAACTGCCTGGTTGTCAAAGTCTAGGGAGGGACAGTCGAGCTGCCAAGGTTGGGTTCGAACCACGGACCTACCGGTCAGTAGTTGGCGCCCTAACCACTGGGTTATATCAAGTTCGATTTCGCGTCAAGGACGAACTCCACAAATATTCAGGAATTGCTTCAAACCAAACAGGGCAAAAATTCTAGGGGATTTCAATCAATGGTTCTGTACTACCGATATCGAACACTCATATGAACTGGCTGCATAGTGCCACCAAACGACGGGACTCCAGACGTTTGCATGAGATTGTGCTATAATGAAGTTGCTGCGTCATGAGGATGAATCGCCCCGCCTGATTCGATCAGTTGCCGTCGAAAACCTCCGAAGCTGAATACGCTATGTCCTCGTTAGAAAGTCACCTGTTGTGAAGCTTTCTCCCTTGGTTTGTAACTTAGGGGCTTTTCCATGGTTCCACTGCTACTTTCTGTTCAACTTCCAAGTCATGCGCGTTTCGTCACTCAGGTCACGTGGTTTCAGCCATGTTGTTTCGGCGGTAGCTACGCCACGGCAAACGTACTTGAAGTTGGCCTAGATATGTGCAATCGTCTGACATATTCAGAGATGGAGACACGTACATTCGGGTCACAACCTATGTTACATTATTACAGATGAAACGAACTGTGTAACGAGCTGTATAGTGCCCACGGGAATGAATGAGAGCCGTGTGGAACAGTTACGATTGAGCAATGAGCACGACCGACTATTCAAAAGAAAACTTGAATCATTTGTCACCAGAGTGTGAACCCTACAATCAAGCTAACATAAAAAACCCAACCGGTAAGCAATATTTTCACCTCTTACTAGGACAAAAAGTTTCAGGAAAATAAAAGTGGGAGATGTGCTCAGTTTTATAAACCTTACTTAACAGAGTATAATCCTAACCACAGGTTTTTCTATGAGAAAGTGAGGGGAGATAGCTCGGTGTTCAAAGTGTGAATTTGCAGACTGGAAGGTCCGTGGTTCGAACCCGACCTCTGCCTATCGAATTCCCTTGTCTAGGCTTGGGCAACCTGACAATATCTCAGCCCTCATGCTTCCTTCGGGTGGCATAGCATTTAGGCACCAAAAGGGTGCCACAGCTGAAGGGATCTATGGGAAAGTATCCTCGAAATGGAGACCTCCACGATAAAGCAATGATTGTGAAATGAAATAACACGTAGGTGGTAATGGTAGTCACTCAGGTGTAAAAATTTCGGTGCTTAGCTGTCTCACCTGAAAAGAGCAGTAAGTCTGAGGTACAGAAAGGCTGGCCAGGCCTAGACAAGAGTAGTCGATATGCTGAGGTTGGGTTCGAACCACGAACCTTGTGGACAGTAATTTCGCGCCTCGACTACCAAGCTCTCTCGACAGAAAGTACTCTTTTCAATTTGGTGCTTTGCATGAGACCCTTTCAGGTTATAAACCCAGATGCTTCGTTTATCCAGAGGAAACTAGATAGCCTCATTGCTTTCCCATAGTTATTCCTGTCTGATTCGAAGACACGTTCAATTCAGTGTTTCGGAAAACTGGTTGGAGTGATGAACTGTTATAGAAAAAAGTACTGTTAAGGTCAAAAAGTAGGATAGCGCTGAAAAGATAATAACAGTCCGACAAATATAATTTGTTCTTCACAGATTAGGTAGGCAACATTCCTTTGGGACCTAAGCTCAGTTCCTGAACTCTCCAAGAGTGGCTTCATTCCCCAGCTACTTGGTTAAATCATGCGAAGAGTTGTTTCACTAGAAGCGGATGTCTTGTTATCATCTCGGTCAATCAGCAGATCAGCTGGAGAACTTATTGATTTCATCAGATTCAGTTAACTCACTCGTGAAAACCAAATCAATTTGCAAATGAGTGTAGTTCTCGAAAACAGTCCAATTAGGGTTCAAGTAGAACATAAAGTTGACGGAAACTCGGGGACCGCATCTATTTGATGAGCCCCAAGAAGGGCGAAACCGGTCGTGGGCTGTCGAAGAGTTTTCAGCAGCCTTGTGAGTAGTTTCCTCTATGAAAATATAGTGCGACATCTCGAATAGCCTGCCAAATGAAACATGAGGCGGCTGGTGTGCAGCACATTCAGTTGTAGAATGTCATAAACGAGAGATTCACTGGAGTCTCTCGTGAAAGCGAAATTAATTTGTAAATGAGTGTTGCTGTCAAAATTAAATTTTTTATGGTTCATAAGGGCTGATTGAGTTTTAGTCACAACAATTTATGCCTTTAGCTAACAAAAAAACGTTATCTGGAAAAAGAAAGGTAGTTGTCTTCTCGACAAAACACGCTCTACTCATAAGGTCACTGGAAACCTTTTGACAGCCCACGGACGATTTCTTCCCTTTGAGCACCACCAAGTCGGTGCAGTCAACTTTATTTTATTCAGTTGTCGTAAATTGCTTAATGAAACGCGGTTGGCTAGACTCTTCTCAAGGGATCACAGCTCAGGGGGGGCCTGGTGTGCTGGTGATGTGGGGTTCCAATGAGTGATGGAGATTCTTCGCAGTCGTAGATGCCTTCGTATCTCTTAGTGAAGCTGTTCGCAAAACAACTATAAGATTTTGGGGCTTCCGGCGCTCCCGATGAACGGTACTTGGAAGATAAAAACTAACCTTTGGAGAGGTAGAATGTGTCTCCACATTGCAAAGTCATTTCATTCGTGTCGTTTTAGCTGTAGCACCCTTTCGGTACCTAACTCCCATGACACCCGAAGGAGGCACGAGGGCTGGGATACTGTTAGGTTGCCCAAGCCTAGACGTCGAGAGCCAGAGGTTGGGTTCGAACCGCGGACCTTCCGGTCAGTAAATTCGCGCTCTAACAACTGAGCCATCTCGCCCCCCAGCCCGTGTCAAATTGTACATTAAAATAGCATGACGAGATGATAGTTTAAGCAACATCTCTATTGCGTGTAGTCACAATGCGGCATCTGGATTCCACACATATATGACCACTCTGAATCGATGTGTTCCTCGCTAAAATGAATTTCTCCGGAGAAGACTCTGTGCTGTTGGGTGAGGGCGGTGCAAATATCTGGTGATATCGATAATAAGTACATACTAATCCTTCGGTAGTAACAGCCTTTCGGTATCTGCCTACCATGCCACCCGAAGCAAGCTCGATGGCTGAGATACCGCCAGGTTGCAGTCAAGATGCAAAGGTTAGGTTCGGAAAACGGACCTTCCGGTAAGTTCACGTCCTAACTACTGAGCTACCTCTCGCCGACATTCGTACAGTGTTGCCAAGTTTACACAAGAAAAGTTGACGAATAACGATTGAACTGCACGGTAGTATGGAATTCTTAGATACTTTACCCCAAAAGTATTCGGATTGAACTGTCAAGCGAGCTGTTGATCGTGAGACAGGCTCAGGTGTTCAGCCTTTTTCAGTTTCTAATAAACGCAATCTGATTCAAACCTTTTCTCACAGGTTCACAAACATTCACACCAGACATAAAATACTTAGAGAATAAAAGTACACAGGGGGTGACTTTAAACAAGACGAACGTCCAGAGAACTTCTTGTGCGACTCTAGCAAGGCGATGCTCAAACCCGTTTCAGTAGTCCCTGGAGAAGAGGCATTTCCACGATTAATTTTCGAATGCGTTAAGCTACACTGAGCCGCTTCTATCCGACATTCAGATGAGACTCCTATGTTCAAACGAAGGCTCAAACAACGGATGAGCGAACCCCGGAGGTCCAAGTTCTCTGCAGTTTGGTTCATGGGATTTATCAGGGCAATTACAGCTCCGGTGACGTTTAAATCGATAGAGGGAGACAATTTTTTCCACAAATAAGTCTAAAATACCTTCCAAGCAGACCTCAAAAGAGCAAATAAACATTTAAAAAATCGTCTTCAATGACCGCCAAGCACATTTTGGCAACAGATCGTTTCATTAACTTCATTCACAAACTTTCTGCGCAGTCAAAATCGGCTAATTCTAGAATTCATCAAAGTCTTATTCATCAAAACAAAATAACTGGTATTGTGTGCACAAAGGCTGTGAACTCACACTGTCTGTTTACCGTGATATTGACCCCACTCCACCCAATCTTGTGTCACGTGACTACACGTTTTCTTCCATACCGTTGAGTCACAAAAAATCTGTTCTTGCTGTGGTTGTCAGAAGGACCAAGAGGAATCGATGCTCTTAAGTTCACTTTAGAAAACGACGAAATGTCTATTTTGAGAGAATGGTACTGCTGTGTCACAAAAAAAACACGGGGAAAGTAACAGCCTTTGGGGACCAAAGCTCGCGTCCGATGTCTCGCCTAATTCTAGGCTCATTTTCCGCAAAAGATTTTCTCCGTTCGGGTGTAAAACCTTAAATGAACTTTCTGACACTTTCAACTCTCTCGTTCTTGACAAAGGGACGGCATTACGTTTTTTACGAAGCCACGGGGTGATCCATCAGCAACGTTTATGCAACAATGGCCACCAAATGACAATTTCAACTTTTTCATAAAGTAAACTACTCACAAGGTTGCTGAAAACTCTTCGACAGCCCACGACCGGTTTCGCCCTTCTTGGGGCTCATCAGGTAGGCGCAGTCCTCGAGTTTCCGTCAACCTTATGATCTACTTGAACCCTAATTGGACTGTTTTCGAGAACTACACTCATTTGCAAATCAATTTGGTTTTCACACTCAGAGATTCAACTGAGTCTCCCGTGAAAACCAAATTGATTTGCAACTGAGTGTATTTCTCGAAGACACTTTCAACTGTTTCTGACAGGTGGTGGTTTAATGTCCGACAGTGTCGGCAAGAGATCGGTCTTCGAAAGGGAACTTGGCTGGAGCGGTCTAGGATGGAGTTTAGGACACAATCCAGGCCTGCATCGCTCCCGGCTCAATCACAATCTCCGATATGTGGGCTTCATACCAAGGAATTGAAATGATGAT